CTTCCTCTGGGGATATTTCTTCATTTTTTTTCCAATAAAAGCCAAATGAGTTTTATATTCCCAACCCTCTGTCGGCTGAACTGCAGAGCCTACCCCATTATTAAGATGCAAAAGGAGACACGGTTTTTGGATTCTCACACGAGTGACCAGGTTCAAGGCCCACTTAGATGAATGTTGAAATGTGCTTTAATATATAGCAGGCGCAGGAGGGCGTTGTTTTTAGCCCAAGATTGCTATGGAGAAGTTAAATGCAGCATGAGATGTAGGATGTTTAAGCATGTTTTTTTTTAAAAGAAAAAATCATCTAAAGGCCAGTAGAGGTAAAGCTGAGATGGCGTAAGATTTAGGAATGAAATTTGCCCAAAACAGATGTTTGATGGAGAATAGCTGCCTGATTTTAGCCATCCCTACCTAAGGAGCTTTGCCATCAGAGTTGGTTTGGCGTGCAACATGCAGCTTTGACACTGCAGAAAGTCATGAAAGCAAGTGGTTTTTTTTAGGAGACCAGCCCCAAGATTGCTTTTTTCACCCCATTTCTCTTCTTGAGAGATCTTGGTGATCCTCAGCCACTGATTTTTTTTCCACAAGGGACGGGATCGCGTGGAGTCCTTGGTGCTTTCTGAGCTTGGTTAAAGGCCAGAGAGCGCCAAGGACTCCACCCTGACTCCAAAGACCCTTAGATAGGCTCGTGTTTGGGCAGGACTTCTGCATAAGCCTTGAGTCCCAGGCGACGTTGCAGAATCTCCGTTCCCAAACTGACCGTCTGACAAGGCCTCCTAAGATCATCGTACGCTTCTGGGAAACATAAGCGGTTCCAGAACTAGGAGAAGACCAGCGGGTTTGCTGGCTGACATTTGTGAATGGAGGTGGATCCCTGAAGGATGAAGGTCAGGGAGCTGGTTGGATCGACCTTAGGGATTGTGGGGGATCCTCGGTGCCCTCTGAGCTGGGTGGTTTTCTTGCAGCCGTTTCGTTACCCAAACTAGGTAACATCATCAATGCCAGAAGGGAATGAAGTTTATGGAGAGGAGGAGGGAGGGAGGGAAGGAAGGAAGGAAGGAAGGAGGAAGGGAAAGAAGGAAGGAAGGGAGGGAGGGAGGGAGGGAGGGAGGAAGGAAGGAAGGAAGGAAGGACTATGGGGTCCTAGGTACTCTCTGAGCTTGGTGGTTTTCTTGCAGCCGTTTCATCACCAAGCTAGGTAACATCATGAATGCCAGAAGGGAATGGAATTTATGGAGAGGAGGAGGGAGGGAGGGAAGGAGGGAAGGAGGGAGGGAGAGGAAGAAAGACAGAGAAAGAGTAAGAAAGTAAGGTAGGGAAGGAGGGAGAGAGGAAGAAAGAGAAGGAAGGAAGGAAGGAAGGAAGGAAGGAAGGAAGGAAGGACTGAACTTGGTAGTTTTCTTGCAGCTGTTTCATCACCAAGCTAGGTAACATCATCCGTAATGGAATGTCTCCAAGAAAACCACCAAGCTCAGAGACCCCATCATTCAATCATGAACTATAAATATTCTCTTCTATCGAGATCTTAGGGAATTCTAGTTGACCCAATGGGTTGTCCTTCTGGGCCTCTTCACGTTTCCCTCCTCACAGGCCGGCTGACTGTCTGCGTAATAAGCAACCCCTTTTACACCCCGGTGCAATGCAATGACGTTCTCCTCGCCCTTCCCCTCTTCTCCTCCTCCACCGCTACCCCGCGTGTGTGTAGAACTGGCCTCTTCACCCCTGACATGGCTTTTGAGACCATTGTGAAGAAGCAGGTCAAGAAGATCAAAGAGCCCTGCCTGAAATGTGTGGACATGGTCATTTCGGAATTAATCAATACGGTTAGACAGTGCACCAAGAAGGTAAACCCGGGAAGTGGAGCATGGGACATGCTCGCGACCGCCACCACCACCCCCTGCCAGCTGAAGCACAGCATTTTGTGATCTAGGGTGCTGGTCCCGCCTGGCGCAAACGTCCCGCTGTTTTCTCCTGGGGTGCCCTTCTTCACAGCATGACTAGACCTGAGTGAACCCAGCTTGGAGTGATCCTAGCCAATCAGAAAGCCATGGCCAAGCTCAAGAGGGTGGACCCCGGGCTAAGTGTCTCTCCCATCAAAGTTTGGGGGTGGAATTCTGGAATCCTACAATTCTATGAGGGAGAATCTCCTGCTCGAGCAGGGGGCTGGACTAGAAGACCTCCCAGGTCCCTTCCCAGGCTCTGTTCTGATTGTGATTCGATGTGGAATCATTGCTTTCTATTAGCTTTAGAGCTGTTGTGTTTGTTGGTTTGTTGAAAATAATTGCTATTTTTCTCTCTTGGCTGTCCGGTGTCCCCATTTAACGCTTAGGAGACCTACAGTTTGAAGGAACCAAATTGATAAGGCGGAAGTTGGGTTTTAAGAGTGGGTAAAATCGTTGCTGTGTCAGTGTGGTTTTCTGAGATTTGATAAGATCAGGTAGCTGCCTTTCAACTGGGTTGGATTCTTCTTTCTTTCTTTCTTTCTTTCTTTCTTTCTTTCTTTCTTTCTTTCTTTCCTTTCTTCTTCTTCTTCTTCTTCTTCTTCTTCTTCTTCTTCTTCTCCTCCTCCTCCTCCTCCTCCTCCTCCTCCTACTACTACTACTACTACTACTACTACTACTACTACTACTACTACTTCTCCTCCTCCTTCTCCTTCTCCTTCTCCTCCTCCTCCTCCTTTCTTCTTTTCAAAATTGAGATAGTCTACTGAAAATCCAGGGATGATCCTTCCCTTCACCAAAGAGTTTTTGGAACTATTTGACCCATGTTGGCAGAATGGTTCCACAATTTGGTGAAGGAAGATGAAATGATGTATTCCCTAGCGTAGCTAGTTCGTCTGAAATGGTATAAGGTTTCCTGCCTGAGCAGGGGGGTTGGACTAGAAGACCTCCAAGGTCCCTTCCAACTCTATTATTATTATTATTATTATTATTATTATTATTATTATTATTATTATTATTATTATTATTATTATTATTATTATTAT